ATTTTTCATGCACCAAAGTAAAGTATCCCATAGTTTTGCAGTCCTAATAAGTTTTTCATACTTTCGTGGCTCCAGGTTCCCAACATATGAGGTCAAGTAATCATCCGGGGAGATAATTAGAATTGATCAGTAAGGCAGAAATAACAGAAAAGATGATGACAATGTTAATATCTGTATTTAAACACTATCTATCTATCTATCTATCTATCTATCTATCTATCTATCTATCTATCTATCTATCTATCTATCTATCTATCTAAAAAATAATATATATATATATATATGTTTATAATACTATTTTTTTATGTATTTATTAGTGTTTTTCAAGGCAGCACTTTCAAAAATGAAATTGTCTAGACCTGTTTTAAACTAAATTTCTTTTTTTATACACTCGTGTGTACAAACTGACAAAATAAATCTGTCTAAGTCTAGTTATTATATATTCTGAGCTCATAATGCACACTGCTGCTCAGCTGACTGGCTTACTTGCACTATAGCCAGGAGGAAAAACTAAATCTGCTTCATTCTTTGTATCAGAAAAACAAAGATATAATCAATAACATTAAAATTCCTCAAATATAAAGGTTGCAAAATCATAGTAAGAGTAGAAATATGTGCACCATGGTTATGAATGATTAATAATGATTTAAAATTTTTCACTTTTTCAGTGGAGTGATCAATGGCTTCTTTTTTTGTCAAGGTTTTTATGACAATCTTAAAACAGCCAATAATAAGTTTGAAATAACAGTAAAGTGATCCCTGGTGGCCTACATGCATCAAACTTCCTTTTCTTTACTACAGATTACAGCTTTAAATCGAATCAAGATCACAGCTAAGGAAAAGCTCAGGTTTCCTGACCGTTGTCCCTTTTTCATCCTTTTTTCCCTCTGCTGCTCCCTGCAGCCGATGCTCACATCCAGCAATAAAACGATGAGGGTGAGCCTCGGCCCGCTGCCCATCCCCCTCCTCTTCACCCTTCCTTCATCCTTGCTGCAGCAGGAACCATGATGGAGCCCCCCCCCTCTCAACCCCTCACCAATCCCATCGCAGCTCCACCTCAGCCCCACATAGGGAAGGTGTTGCCTCCCGTTTCCATGCCGCTACCTTCAGGGAAAAACGCGATGTTTACACAGTTCTGGAGAGATGATTCACCCAAAGCTCAGCCTACATTCCGCCTGCTTCCTGTTTTACAAACCCACTTATGTAATTGGCAGCTAGCGTGCTTAAATAATTAAAAATGGCACAGTAATATAATAGAACATTGCCGTGTGGTAAGAGATATTTATGGTGGTGGGCTTCAAATAAAACTGATCCCAAATCTAACTTCTATGTTAGTGAAGAAACCACACTGCTGTGAACAAATATTCAATCGATACTGCATGTTTACCATTTAAAATGAGAGAAAGATGCACCAACCGTCCTGTTGGGGAGGTTTAACATATTGACTTTAAATCATCAAGCCCCTATAATTATGTGTTCTTCTTACATATTGATCACATAGCAAAATATGTCATATTTGAAGTGGAATAAACCTAAAATAAATCTCTAAAAGATGTAGATTTATTTTTTATTCTGTTTTATCATCTACTGGGACTAAAACACAATATAAATATATATCATACCTTGAGATGCACTGATACGGTTTTTCTTGGCACAAATTTCTGATGAGTTTTTTTTTGTCTGATTCCAATTTTGAATCTATATATAATTTTTTTATTTACTTTTACTCCTTAGGAGTACATCACATAAAATACAAATATAAGAGTGCTTTGGGTATTTGAATCCCTTTTGAATGCTAACCTAGACCTTTAAAGCCCGATCCAAGAATAAAACAAAACAGAAAATGACTTTTTTTTGGTTTGAATTTCTTATTTGCCCTTTTAACAAAATATGTAAAAAGGAAAAACAGAAATACATTTTTGATATTAATAATTTATTACTATGCGATAAGTCAAGATAATTTTTTGTGTAGTCTTCTACTGGCTGTTATCAGGTATATCTGATTGTGTACAATAGGATTTTGAGCAAAGTTTTTACCATTAAATTATGCAAAACATTTCAGAAACCGTATGTATCAAATACGATACATTTGGCATTATAGGGCTAGCTAAAACTTAATTCTTGCATAAATGTTTATAAAGTAGAATAAATTTAATTCATTTTTGCATAGACTCATTTATTGGATAAGATACAAATATTTGTATTTCTTTGTCTTTGATGTGCAGATAACTTATAAGAGCTAAAACGTGGCTGATGGTTTTGTTTTAATTGCAAGCTTCAGGCTTGGCCAGAGATGCACCAATCCAACACTAGTATCTGTCTTTGTCTTGATATTAAAGAATATTGTCAACTGGGTATCGGTAGAAATGGGCTTGATGTATGGGATCCCTTTTAATCTATTACCATAGTAAATGTATGTTAATTATCTCTTGAACATCAGAAAACTTTACCCCTTTATGGGCTTTGATTTAATAAATGCAGTATATTTTCCTACTTATTTTTTTAGGATGGAATTGAACTTAAAATGATTTCTTTTTATGTCTTTTTTTTGTCATTTACATATCAAGTTACCTTTTGCAACATAACTCTATTCATATATATCATGACAGTAATTTAAATTAACAGTAAGGATGAAAACATTAAAGGGATATTGTGTAAGAATTTCTGCCATCTTGTGGTGAGATGGGGGTATTTCTATCAAACAAACCCTAAATAGTGCATCACTGCCTTAAACACGAGTTGCAGCAACGGTGGCCGGCATCAAACAGTTTGAGAACGCAGATGTTACCGTGAAGTCTCAATACATGTAAGCTGGCTTTTACTTTGACAAAAATTCAACATTCACCACAGCTTTGAAAGCTACTAAACCCGCACAAACATGCACTTCTGCACAAATAAGATTGTTATATGTTTGCAGGATTTAGGATTTTGCTTTTTACAGTAACAAGCAACACAATCGAATTAAACGGAATGGAAAAAGTTTGATTTATGCTAAGTTAGGCAGCACAGTTCACTTGTCAAGGTCACTTGTGTCCCTTTTAAAATCTTTCACCTTCCTTTGCTTATTTCACCTGGAGAAGGCTTGCCAAATGTTTATCCTCCTTTTTAGATCTCTCCAGTTTATTTGACTTTTAAGTTCTCTTTTTCGCTTGCTTGTGGATGGTGAAACTATTTCTTGTGCTGCTGCTGCATATACATAGTTCTGCATTGTGTTGCAGCAGAGCAGACTTTCAGTTGGATTAGTCTATTATCTTCACCTCTCAATCACACTCAAACGCCAGTAAGGCGTTGGTACTATTTTATACCTCGCCGGTGTCTGTATTTTCAAGATGGCAGACTGTCTTGGTTCTATGCAAATGGGTGAACCAGCCTTATGTATAAACTAATATAGAATTATTTGCTGATGAAAATACATCTGATTATTAGTGAAAGTAATAACACACTAATAATAACAAATATATAATTGCAATATATGATTTCTAGCATTCAAATAGAGGATTTTTTTTTACACTATGTCACTTTAAAGCAATCAGATACAGTATCAGAAAATTATCTGGATCTGCACATATTCAGATTTAATTATCGGAATCTTATTGGAGGTGAAAAATGTTTGCTTCCCTAATCTTAGCTTAAGTATAGAGGGACACAAACTAGATTAGATTAGATTAGGTTAGATTAGATGAGCTTTATTGATCTCACAGCGGAGAAATTCACTCGTCACATATTGGCATAGAAGTTACAGAAGGTGCAAACAGGGAGGAAAAAGGTGCATTAAGAATAAGCAATATATATACAGTATATAAAGATAAATAGGATTAAGGTGCAAGTGTACATGTATCGCACACAATGAAAAACAAAATAAAAATAAGAAATTAAAAAATGAGAAATAAAAATATGTACAATACGGATGGCTTATATACAGGTGTAGAAATTATGTTTTTAATGTAGTATGTATTTGATACTACAGGTTTATAGAGGGAAGTATCGCAGTAGTACAGAAAGCATTTGCATTATAAATTGTGCATCATGGTGTATCTGGTTTATTGTGGGGTCAGGAATGAGTGACTGACTTTCAATTAAAGGTACTAGGATATAGCACATAACCATGTTCATGTTAATGTGGGAAAAATAAATAATTTCTTCATCTATGACAAATTTGTATGGGTGACTATTGCACCAACCAACCCATTTGATTATAGGGCCAAGTCAAGCAGCTTCTTCACAACATCCATCAGGAAAGGCAAAAAAATCCCGATTTTAGGCGCAGGCCTGCATCTCATCCTCTCCACCACCGAGCTGCACATCCACATGAAGGCCTCCATCACCCACACAGCATCGAGTACAAACGACAAAATAAAGAAACGGCCTTTAAAGCAGAGATAGCGCCAAACTTCCACTACGTTTCACTGCGTCAGAGAGGATGAACAAAGCAAACAGTTTTCCTCACATCCGTGTGCGCGCTGAGTGGCTTTTTACGCAACAGAAATGTGCTCCATCAGAGGGGTGAGGCTCTAACCAGGAAACCCGCTGATCTCCGTTTATCTTTTATTATTTAAACTCCATGGATCTGATCACACTGCAGGTTATTTCTGCACGGCCGCGCGCGCGTGCTGCTGCGGACTATTCCTGATTCAAACGCTGATTGGCTGTAAAAGGGCGTGTTTGGATGGTTATTTTTGCAGACAGGCTTTAATCGTCCAGTTTCAAAAATGAATTATCACCTCTATTACTGGACTAATAATTTTAATCTTCAGGTTGTTGATCCTCGTTTTTATTTCCCAGCGCTTGGATGGGGGGGGTTATATGCGCTTCAGCACCGCAGGCTCCCATGGAGACCATCCGACCCTCTGCAGGAGATCAAGTGATTTACAGTGATCCACCTATCAGCAGCACCACCATCATGGAGATGCAGGCCTGCAGCCTCCATCTCCGCTCATTTAAAGCGCAGCTTTTTAACATCAACACCATTAAGCTTCATAAAACAGGAAAGAAAAGCTTACTTTCTCCGACCACCGCCTTTAATCCGATAGGTGCCATGATGCTACCGAGTGCTGCACGGAGCGATGAGCCTCCTCCCTCCTCTCTGGTCGTTTCTCTCTCTCCGTCCGCAGCGCAGGAGCCTCCAGTTGGAAACGTCACTGCGTCTCCTTTCCGCACCATCCTCCACCTCATTGGTGGGAGGAGGTGACAGCCGTGATCATGGAACCCAGCTTCCCTAATTAACCATCATTTTTGCAGTTTTATTACTTTTAGATCTGAGTGCTGCATTTGACACTGTAGATAATCAGATTCTCTTACACAGATTAAAACATAATGTTGACCTGAGAGCCCCCAGTATTTGAATGGTTTCAATCTTATTTAGAAAAGAGAACTTTTACAGTTCATCTGGACCAATGCTGTTCTGGGGCCAAACCTTTAAAGTATGGCGTTCCTCAAGGCTCAATTCTAGGTCCTATTTTGTTTATTTTGTATTTACTACCTCTTGGTCAGATTTTCCATAAGTTTGGTGTTTCTTTTCAGTTATTTGCAGATGATGTTCAGATTTATATGCCAATTAAACTACAAAATGGGGAAAATGAATCTCTTCAGCTATTGATAGATTGACTTGCTGAAGTCAAATCTTGGATGGAACAAAACTTTCTTCACCTTAATCAAAGTAAAACTCAAGTTATATTATTTGGTCAGAGTCTTCAATCCAGATCTAATTCTTGGTTCTTTAGCTCAGTTTTGTTAGACCTCTGCTAGGAATCTTGGTTTTAGTTTTGACAGCTGTTTAAAGTTAGATAAATAAGTTAGCTCTGTTGTTAGATCAAGCATTTTAGCAAACATTAAATCCTATTTTTGTTTTAAGGACTTTGAAGGACTTATCCATGCTTTCATTACATCCCGGTTGGATTATTGCAATTCATCATATAGAGGCATAGATAAATCACAGATGCAGCGACTTCAATTGATCCAGAACCCTGCAGCTCGGCTCCTTACTGGAACCAGGAAGAGTGACCATGTAAGGCCTATACTGGCCTCTTTACATTGGCTGCCTGTCTTTTACCGAATAGATTTTAAGATTGTTTTATTAACTTATAAAGTCTTAAATGGATTAGCTCCTCCTTATCTTAGAGACCTTTTAAAATTCCATTCTGTGCAGAGAAGTCTACGCTCTAAAAATCAACTATTACTGACAGTTCCTCGGACTCAACCGTTGCTCCAATTCTGTGGAACCATTTACTTCTTTACCATTACCATGATCATTTTAAATCGCTTTTTAAAACTTATTTTTATTTTTCGGCTTTTAATTGAAGCAGTGTTTCGCATTCTGTTTTGTTAATTGGTGTTATTGACTTTCCTGTAAAGCACTTTGGCGCAGTTTTATACCTTTTTTAAAAGTGCTACTGTATATAAATAAATTAGACATTGACATTGACATAACAACACTTGAATTTAAACGTTAAAGAATATTTTAATTAAGAGGAAGCCATTTAGGTACCTATTTTAGCCTCCATCCTGTCATGTTTCATGCATCCTCTTAATACAGTTTGAGGTAAAGAAAATAGACACGAGATAAAGTCTTATAACGTGTAATTATGTGTTACCTTCCCGTAACTTTTAGGATCTTCTTCTTTTTTTTATAAGTGTGGCCAGGCAATATAACCCAAGTGGATAGGCACCAGAACCTCAGGGTCAATCTACACTGTTCCAACAGGAACAAGCACAACGTCCATATTTTTAAATAAAGACTAACTATAGTTTCTTACAGACTTCGCTAACAAATAGATGCATATATTTAAACATCCGTCTAGATCAAAGGTATATGGATAAAATTCGTTCAGGTTTGAGTTCTGGAGCGTACATCCTTTCCATCGTCATTACTTACCTACTTTTATCAATATCATTCTGCATTAAATTGATATTTACAAGTACTAATATCTACATTTTATGATAATTTAATAGGTTTTTATTAAAATAGTTATTTACAGTATCTATTATTTCACTGAAGACTCTTAGATGACTTGCAGAGATGCATCATCTCTTTATGGCATATAACAATATAAAAATCTAGTTCTGAAATCGCATGAATAATTCTGTACTAATCATCTCTATTAACCACAGGGCTTTTGTTGTCAAGTAATTGTTAATATATATAAAATTTTATTGTTTTGAATATTCTACTTGAGAGAAAAAATGGTAGGGGTGGCCTCATGGGTGGCCAATGATTGGCTAAGGGTGGGGGCATAAAACTATGTTTACATGTATTGTTAATACACTATTCCTTATTTATATGCACATTAATTATGTTTTTGATAAAAATCCTTTCACTGCTCCACCATATTGGATCAGTCTATTTGCTGCACATGTTCAGAAAGGTCCAAACAGACAGCAGCAAACCATTTGAAAACAAACGATGTGAAGAGCAGTAGTGCTTTTGTTGCTATTTTTAGCAACGTTTAGACCCCTCTAGCTCTTTTATTTCAAAAAAGCACCTAACTCCAAATCTAGCGACTTTTTTCTGCTAGTTGAGACTTTGGCGACAACATAATAAAAGCAGCAAACTCTGCTCTCCAGAGCAAGTAAATTGGTAACCCCGCCTCCTGCTCTCCTCTATCTTGTCTGCTGTCATGATTCACGCAGCTATAACTACATAAAAATGTAAAATGGAGAACAGATAAGCAGATCATGGCTTGTCTACAGTGAAAAGAAGGACTGGGTTATTTACTTTTGCCATCGCCTTTTTAGCAACACAGGAAGGAGCAATCAACTAAGTGAGCTTAGTGATTGGAAAAAATCTTTATATCCTTTTTGAGACAGCTTGAAAAATCAGCTGAGAACAAAATATAGAGAGGAAAACAACAAGAAAAGGACAAAAGGTAGAACAAATAATGTATGTCTATTCTATTAAAATTTCTGCATCTGTATTGTGGGTCTGTTTTACGTTGTCTTCTCAAATCAGAGGGCCTGTCTTTGCCTGCCTGTCTTTGCCAGAATCCGCCCATGGTTCTATCCCATAACTTTAAATGAGATTTCCTCAAATTTATACCTACTCCTTCGGACCTTTGCTTCGGACCAGCACATCAAATTTAAGAAAGCTCAGCTGTATCTTACAGCTTAATTCCTTTGGGAAATTGTGGGATACTCTGCTGGAACTTAAAACCAGATTTTCAGAAACGTGCATGGTAGTTTTTAAAACTCACAGAGGACGTCTGAGACATTGAAAAGACAAATCTGCTGCATATCCCTGAAACTAAAAAATATATATTTTTCCAGAACTTTACACAGTACGTTTTACATTCCTGGAAATCCCAGGCTACTTGTTTGGTCATTGCTTGCTTATTGTTCCTAAATGTATTGGTACTTTCCCAATGTTAACATAAAGTTTCTCCTATTTGAAATCTAATGGATTCTGATTTCAGTTTCCAGAACTTGGAGTCCCCTCTGGATCTACAAGATACTTTATGCAACTTTTCCAAAACTTGTAATATTTCCTAGTGATTACTAATTACCTAACAGAAACATGGAGGCATATTTTCTAAAACTTTCAGTCTACAATGCTGTTATAACAGGTTACTTTCCTTGAAGTTACTCCTTTATTAAAATGTACAGATTAGATTACAAGAATTTCTCGGGGCCCTACTGGAATTTCCAAAACCTTTTATGGAACTTTTATAACATCACTGTTCCTAGAGCTTAGCTTAACTAAACTAGAACTTTAATACAATTAATTATTTGCTTTATTAAAACCCACAGGTTAATAATATTTAATGCTCCTAGTTACAGGGTACTTTCCTATTGTTTTAAAACTCATGGTGCTTCCCTGTTTATAGTACCTTTATAAAATCTGCAGGATTTATTTTAAAGCTGTTTCACCAGCACTTACCAATCATCTTCAGTAAACTTGCAGGTTACTTACCAGAACTTAGGATATATTTTTACTATTTTTAAACCATAGGCTTCCTTCTAACTTAATAAGACACTTATGTATAATAGCTTTCCTTTAACTTCCAGGAGTGTTTATAGAACAGTCTCTGAGAATGTATCACGCCTCATATTTTACATGTTCCATCCAAGCAGGAAGACTCATGCAGTCCTGTAAAATGTTCATATTTTGCAGGTTTCCAGGCTTTCCTTTTGATGTTTTCACAAATTTTCATTCTGCTGCTTCTGACCATAACAGCATAAATGTGCAGCTTAGTTAAACGAAATGAGAAGTTCTGGACCCACCTACTTTTTAGGGGTATTGTGTGCAATTTTTTATGACTTACCTATATGAGCATTTTTGCAACCTGTGTAGTACTGAATCTTTCCACAAGGGGGCAGCAGTAACATGCTTTTAGAAAGTCCCAAAAGCAGGTATGCTTTCAGTTTTCTTATCCATAAGGGAAACTTCAACACAATATTAACAAAATGTGGCAACTTAAAGTCCGGGAACATGAATCTAATTATTATATCTGAGAAAAAATATTTTAAAACCAACACTTTATATTTCTTTATCTAAACTCAAATGACTTCAAACAAGTAATAAGAAACTGAGTGAAGTGTTACCAGGCTCTCCTGGTGGAGGCCACACCTTTGGCATGGCCAACTGAACACGTTGGACCAGTGATGACTCCCAGAGGGTGTGTCCTGTTGCTTTGCTGTGAAAGAGAGCAGTGTTCACCTCCTACTCCTCCTCTTTCCTCTCTCTCTCTCTGGGTTTTTTGGAGCAAAACAGGAGGGAAGCCAAAGCAGCACCATCCTGAGTGGGAGCCTGAAGCAGAATTCCCTGCAGGACGTTGGAGTCTTGGAAGTCTGACCTGGGAGTTACTACAGCTGGGATACTCTGAGGATCTCCTGTCACCATGGGAGACGTGGTTTCCTCTCACCTGGATGAGGGCAGACGGGAGATGATCTCAGGTTAGAAGCTTTTAAGTTAGAACAGACTAAGAGTTTAATGACAAAATTATGTATTTGATTCTGCTTTGTTGGATTCATAAGAGTTTAAAGTTTAATATGTCTAATCACCTAAAATAGAAGTGTGACAAATGTCCCTTTTCTTGCATTTTAAGAGTTTGAATAAAGTCCTAGTATTTTTTCTGGGATAATAAGCAGGTTTCTAAAAGACAGGGGAACATGTTTGTCTAAGTTTGGGACTGCTTGTTATTGGAGTCTGAGCAGCCTCCCACAGAGAAATGTCCTCCTCTCTGCGATTATTCCAGCAAAGCATGGAGGCAGAACGAGTCAGAGGAGCAGGGACACTTTCAGGAACCTGTGGTTTAGTCCAGTAATTACTAGAAGGATTTTACCATAGGTCTGTGCATGTGTAGTTGGAATGCTTTACATTTCTGCTCTCCAAACATTTCTGGTTGTGTTTGTGTTTCCCTGGTGGTACTTAGAGAAGAAGGTTTTGGATCCTTAAATTTCAAGCGATTCTTTTTGTTTGTTGCTTTTGTGAAGCCATAAAATAAATGCTCCTTTGTGTGGAATGGAAAAAAAGGGAAGATCGTCTTTGTTGAAATGTTTTTTTTTTTTTTTTTGCTTGATAAAACAATCTAAAAGCTACAAGCTGCATACTGAGCCTCATAACTGTAAGCTTTTCCAAGTTTGTGATGTTACAACAAACCATTACATACTTATTTGGATTTTATGTGACATTGAATGAGGGAACCTAAAAACCCAAAACTTGGTCAGTGACCCAAACCATATGTGTCAAACCTCTTGAGAACTCAAAAAAGTCCCATGTGCCAAAAAACAAAAAACAAAACCTGAATCGAATATCCTCCTAACAACTCTTTAGACTCAGGCTCAAAGGCTGCAGGAAACTGGACGTATAAGAGAGTAGTTTTGCACCTCTGACCTCCACTGGCAGGCTGGCTAAGGAGAGTATTAATAAAAGAGCAGCCAAGATCCTCATGGGGAATCTGGGGGAGCTGCAGAGATTCACTGCTCAGGTGGGGAACTCTGTTGAAAGAGAAACTGTTATTGTGTGGATATGAGAGTGTAAGTTCACCTTCCTGTGGGATAACCACCCTAAACCCTCAAGCTACGATAGAAGAGTTTAGATTAAAGTATTTTCATTGGTCAGAATGGTCGAATCAAAATCCAGATCTAAATCAAACAGAACATTTTGAACAAAACGTTTTTTTTTAAAGACATTTAGAGTATTTTATGTTATAGTTGTGCCCCCCAGCTGGCAGAGACTAAGACTTCACAGCAGAAAGGGGTGTTTAAAAAAACCCAGAATGTGAGTGAAACCCAGAAAAAGTAAAAATATCTGTCCATGATGCCTGATAATTTCACCTGACAACATTCATTTGAATCAATATTATAGTGCAAAGATGTAAACTTGAAACAAACTCTTAATAAATAAAAACCTATCAGACACTAAGTAGTTCTTAGTATGTGATAAGAACCAAATGTGATATTGAGTAGTACTGTAGCTGAAATAATAGGCGGTTCTACAAAGTATTAATAAGCAGGTTAATTTTAAATTCACACCACATGTTGTTTAAATTAATTATTAATGTATTTTTTTTTTTCAGAAAATAAAGGGGATTGAATAAGTGTTGGTTTACCACTTTAAAACATCCCAGTAAAACCTCATGAAGATGGTTGTAATCTGACAGTATTCATGCTGCAACAGAGCTATTATAGACATTTATGGTTTCATGTTTATAGGCCAATTATTTGTATATCTATTATTTTAGATTTAGAAAGTAATGGAGCATCATCCATCTATGTTAGTTAAACATAGAGACTAGATTTTAGCAATTTAATGTTGATTCATTTCTGAGTTCCTTTCATCATTTAAGTATTGTTTCCATTGCTTTACACTGATGCTATAAACTTTTTCCCAATAAACAGCGGATAACTGAACTAATCTGTGAACAAAAGAGCAAATATTCAGAAAGTATAACCTTTGCTGTAAAGAAATCATGTTAGACCATTCAAGGTTTCAGAAATAATTAGTGGACTTTTTTTATACTTGTGTTTTATTGAGCAGGCAATCAATAAATATGTCCTGCTTTGTTGCTTGAAAAACTTTAAATCTAAACAAATCCAATTTATCTCTGAAGCAACATTGTTGACCCAAGACAACATATTTGTCTAGAAACAATATTAATTTATTATCTAGAGATGTGCTCATCACATTACCCTCAATTTGCAATTAAATTAAACATTGACAAATAGGGAATTTGTTTCATTTATGTTTTTGGGGGCAAAATAGATTAGAAAATTATGACTTTTTATGCAATTAAAACTATTTTCTAATCTTTATCAGACTTTTCTCTGACATCTGCTGATTTTGTTTATTTATTTTACAGGAAAAGGGTAAATTTTCCTTTTGGTAGATAACCCTATGACAACGATCATGGGCGGCGCTCTAGACGATTGTTAGCTGATTGGCCAAGCTTCTTAGAGTGACAGCTGACCCATCATTGTTTGAGCTCCTGTTATGATCAGCAAAATTAGAATGTTTATATCGTAAACTTGTTGATATAAACATCTAAAGAGAAAATCTTGGACATAATCTCTAAAGAATGTTTAACTTAAAGAAATCATCATGTGTTCATGAGTAAAGATGTCCTAACCACATGTTTACAAACCAAATGTTTTAAATTCAGTAATCAAACACAACAATAACTGACTATAAAATGCATCAATTTGCTTTACATTCCAATGAGTTTGTAGAAATTATAAGATTATGCAATGAAGCCAATTTTATTCGCAACTCAAAACAGGGCATCAAAGAACAAGTTTTGAATATTTGAAGAGTCTAAAGATCAGTGTTTTCAGTTTTAGACCCACTGATCACCAGTTAAAGTTAGAGCAGAGAGTTTCTGCCAGTGTTGATGAATCACTGTTAAGGGAAAAAGTATAGTCTGTAAGTTTAGCAGTGTGCTAGTCATGCTTTGGGCTCAAGTTGCAGGAGGAAGGCAAGGGTGCACTGCAAAAACAATCTGAAATCAAGTAAAAAAAATCTTAAATCAAGTGTATTTACCCTTAATTTGAGCAGGTAAATAAGATAGTTTGCCAATGGGATGAGTATTTTTACACTTAAAATAAGATAACTAGATAAAATGCACTTGAAATAAGACAATGCAATTGTTTTTTCTAATTTCAAATGTAAATTGTCTTGTTCCATTGGCAAAGTGTCTCATTTATCTACTGAAATCAGGATAAAATGCACTTATTTTTAGAAAAAATTACTTATTTAGATTTACATTTTTTGCAGTGTGGCGACTTTAAATTGATGGCTTGACTCGAGTCATCAATTTAGATTATGGCTTAGTTACATTAGAAAAGATTTACAGTAAAGCGTCTTTACTTCAAATGAGTTAAGGCTCATATTAAAGCAAAATAAAAGTGTCCATATAATTTGTTTCCTCATGTTTCAGGAATAGCTCAGTATGAATTATTTTTGATTTGGACTTTACGTGGGACCTGTTAGCCCAGACTTATGACTCAAGTTGAGCAGTCTGACTCGTGTCTTAACTTGACCATTAAGACTTTAAAACTTGTGACTTGGAAAGTAGTGAGCCGGTCCCACCTCCGTCAGAAGGTGAAACTTTAACACTATTAGAATGAACATCTGCACAAGCGTAAAAATTACACACAATTCACCAGGATTCTGCTTTTACTGTTTTATACCAACCCATGGCGTATTCTAATACATTAGATGAGACTTTTTCGACATTTTTAGCCTGTGCTCAAAAATGTGTGATGGAAATTTACCTCCATCTAAACAACATCTCTGCCAGGAGACAAAGCAGAACTGTGGGAGGGATATTCTTCACAAAAGTCCATAATTTAGTCTCATTCTGCTGTTATTTAAATGCTTTTCATTTAAATTGGCTGCATTTAATCACACAGCAATAAAACAGAACTAAAGCGTCTCATTGTGTGTCAGAGAGTTTAACCTGAAAAAGGCTACATTTTTTGCAAGAATATAAAGATCGCAAACAAAATCTGTAATTTCTAATGGATTACCCAAAGATGCTCCCACCTTCTCTAACTCCACTAACCTAAACATCATCTAAACCTGATGCCTGACCTGAAGGTTGGTTTAAAATCCCTCAAAATGATTCACAAAACCCAAAAATGGATAAGAAGTTCAAATTAAAACAGGCAACCTCATGTAAGGAGAGTTTTAACCTTTTTATCATCCTGATGCATTTTGAGGAATCTATTCAGTTACCTTTGCAGTTTCACCAAAAACAGAGCAGCTATTTTTCTGCTGGGCTACCTGGAATCGAGTAATGTTTTCAGAGTTATGGGTGCAGCACATGAAGGGAGCAGTCAGAGGGGGGGAGGATAATGAGGTGCAGCAGGTAAAGACATGTCAGAGTTAAAACTGGCGGTATTACAGGCCCTCCCTCAGCGCCGTCTCTCTGTCCATCTCCTTTGTTTGCTCGTGTGAAACCACAACAGAGCAGCAAACAGCTTGTCCTCCTTTGAACCTAAAGTAAGCATTTGTGTTCATGTATGTTATTACATGTCCTTGGATGACTTTGCATCGCTGATGTCCTCTGTTTCTCTGCATGGAGCCGTGCAAAAGTCTTAGGTCATCCCTCAAATCTATATTCTTTCCGTCCAAGCAGTCAGATTCTGTCTCTTTCTTTCAAAGTGGTGTAGATCCAAAGTTCCTCAGACTTTCTGAAGCTCTTTCAAAGTTGTTAAAGGAACGTTTAAACATGTGGAGACACATACTCATATATATATATCTGAAGTCTTGCTCTCTCTTTCTCTTGTTGGCAGCCAGAATGAACCACAGACAGATCTCTCAACACATCAAATAAAAGTAGTTTGTATTTAAGCTGTGAGTCGTGTCTCTTACCAGAATCTTTATCTTTATCATGTTGTGTTCTGGTCTGTTTAAAACACATAAATACTATAATGGCCTAGTCAAAGTCCAAACCTAAATCCATTTGACAAACTGTTGCAAAATGAGAAAATTTGTTTTCATCCAGTCTCACTGTATTTGTTATTGTATGGATACAACAAAAACAGAAAACATGTTACTATTGTAACACCAAAAAAAAGTGGATTTCCACAACAGAATTGAAACTTTAATAATTATAAACCATACACAACAAATAACAGTGTAGACGATGTCAGATAGACTAGGATCATCGTCGCACGTTGTTATTAAATTTCTGTTCATAAGTTTAAAGGATTTTCAGACTTATATGCTATAAAAAGTGATTCTAAATTACTGCAATGTGGTAAAATGTAAAGCATTTAAAGGGTAAGATGCTTTCTTTGAAAAACAGCAGGGAAGCCTGACTTAATCTAAAATAAAAGGGATGTTTGATTACTTTTGTCCAGCATTAACCGTATGCTGCATACAAATGCAACACACAGAGAGTTATGCAAATTTTAAACTGCGTGTAGCTGTGTTATGTCAACAGTCACTGGTGGATTACCAACCATATAAGCCATGAGATCATAACTTTAAATGCAACAAACTTTATCTGTGGAAATACAGAACAATAAATGGAAATATTTTCAGGATACTGAAGGATTCAGTAAGGAGCTTAAGCTTGTCTTCCCACTCTGTCTGAATCAGGGTCCCTGTAATGTAAAACAAAACTGGATTATATTAGATAGGCCACCTGTTTCCTCATCTCCTTCACCACAGTCTGACCTCAGACACTAAAATCACTTTTTCCTGCAGAAAGAAAAAACCCTGCTTGAAATCGTTCTTAGTCAGCAACCTTCATGTCTCCTGATAAACCATCACAACAGAGTTAATCACAGTAGAGTTATTAGGTTTCTTCTACATTTTTCTGTCTTTATAACAACAAAACATCTGAAAAAACTCATCAGATGTTTGCAGCTTGGATCTGTATTAAATGAATAGCTAAAATTAAAAACCTTGAGGAGTATTAGGATCCAGGCCTCAGCTCTCAATAAAGGAAATATTTTATATCAGACCTAATAAGTGCTTTCAGGTTAAAAACAGAAGACTAAGTGTTTTCGTTTTATTTTTTCACCTTCTAATCTTTGTTTCCATGCACCCAGAAGCCTATTTAAAGCATTCCAGTTTGCTGACTTTGGCCCAGCAGGACGTCTGCTGGAAGGTACCAACTTTCTGCATCAGTGAAGAGGAAACGGCTTTAACGAGCACCTGCCTGCTGCAGAATTTAGTTAGCATCGACTCAACAGAGGCAAACATCTACAGTTAGGACCCGGTGCTGATATGTTGGAGATCAGCATTCAGATTGAAACATCTTAAGTCATAGCTATTTTTATTTCACTTTCTGCAACATTACAGAGTGGTATTTTAATTGCTTTTTGGTGATTAATTCTTCACTAAACAAAGGATATGATCAAAGAAGAGGGAAAGGAGGTGAAGAATATTAGCCTATTCCAAAAAGGAAGATGAGAACCAACCATATTTGACTCCAGCAATGTCTAATTCTCTTTTTAAAGATATTCAGAGCTGGACTTTCTGGTGTCCTTTGGATCCTTGTCCTACTGCTGCATAACCCAATTATAGCTAAGCTAAACCAGTTAAATCATTGTCATCCACAATAAAGAGAATATTAAAAACTGTGATGAACCTTCACAGGAAAAATTGGCCTTCTAAAATTACTCAAAAAGAACATCAATGGCTCATCCAGAATGTCACAATATAAGCAAAAACTCACTGAACACTTCCTCATAGGTAACATCAGAGTTCATTGTTTAAAACTAAGAGAGATCCATACGTTTGGGTGGTGAGGCTGCTTTGCTAATAAAGGAACTAAATGAACTCTTCTCTTAACAAAAGATAGGATTTTTACTTCAAGCTAATTTTTTTTTTAGCGACAAAACAATCATCATCAGCCTCAACTCAGAGAAAACAAAATGCACATTTTAAAGGACATCTTATATAAGATAGATTAATTGGTTTCCTAGGGCTCAGAGAACAGAAGATGAAGATACATTCTAGAGAGGTTGCAAGACACCTAAGACTCTGGGTCCTTAAGCAAGACCTTTCCTATAGCCATCAAAGGTCAGACCCAAGCGAAGTTCAGATTCAGTGACGTGAAAACATGTTAGTGCTCAAAGATCCCACAATGTAACTGAATTAAAAGCCATTCTGTTTTCTCTCAAATGAAGTTAAAGACTCATCATCACTGGCCGTTAATGGCTAAACTTTTCTTCTGGATCCTTGTCTCTTTCAGCAGATGCTCTTTCTTCACCTGTTTCTTCTGCCTCTTCGTCCTCTGATTTATCCTCCCATCTCGTCCGTCTCTCAGCTGGTGTATTTTTAATAAGCCTGTGTGTCCCTGTCCCCGTCTCCTACACATTCCCACAGTGTCCATCCTGTCCTGTCAGCGTTTTCCTTCCTGCTCTCCCTCTGCAGCCCTGCTCCCTCCTTCCTGTCATGATGCTTCCATAAACATGCCAGAGTCCTGCTCTAAGTTGCTTACAGCAGTGAAAAGCTTCATTCATCCTGTGATTCTTTGGATTTCTTTATTGTGATGTTGCAGAACATCGTCCAATCTGTTACTAATGGGCTTTCAAAACTTAGGTTCCTTAAAAACATTCAGATTCTGCTACAATTTACTTTTTAGACCAGCTGAATAAAATACATTTTGAAAAGTTCAATATTAAGCTAAACTTTGGACATGTAAAAAAATTCACCTAAAATGTGTCTGACAATGTGGACCTGCCAAAGATAGTGAGGGGACCCGAGAGGCTGGGCTTTTAAAGCAGCTAATATCAAAAACATTTTAATAGAAAAGTTAAATATGGTCTAACTGGTAGAATGACAAAAAGTTGGATTTTTCATCTGGTTTTTAACTTTTATCGCAAAAAGGTTCACTTCACCTTCTTTTTCAACAGGTACAGAATATTCTGAAATTGTGCATAAAAGAGAATAGAATAAATCACTGAATGATGCCAGGTTTCCTGACCCTCTTTGTCTCTCTCTCCTGCAGCTCGGACCAGGGATGTGATGACACAGTTTGAGGATCTGTACGAGAAGCAGTACGCCGTCGCCCTTTTCAATGCCGTTCGCTTTGAGATAGAAGGAGGAGGCGGGACGCAACCGCAGCTGCTGCACAGAAAGGCAAGTTTTTACCCTGCAGCTGAAACCATCTGAACAGTTCAGGCGGAATTTCAACCTATTTTCACATAAACTGGACTTTAAGGAAGAGAGAGTAATTAGAAAGAGAGTGTTGAGAGAAAATCATAAGAAGTCTGAAGGAGACGCCTGAAAAGTAGGAGAAGAGACCATATCTGAGCTCTTTGGCCTGCTTCTAAAACTTGTTGGAAAACTAGAAGCTGAAGTCTCCATGCTTACAGTAAAACATAATGATGGCAGTATTTTTTAGGAGTTGGGAGATAACCTTCCCAGAGCTACAACATAAGATCAGTAAGTGTTATAGATTGACATATTCCAAGCTGGTGATATAATTCATAATCCGTGGCAAGCATTAAAACAAATGCTCTCCATCTAATATGACTTAAAATCAAAAGAATGGACTATAACTTATTAACTGGGTAGAGCTGAACATACAAACACAGAAGACTTTGGTATAAATTGGTTACTACACAAATAAAATTTAATGGTTATGGGCATCTCTATTTGTAAAAGCAGTGCGCTTGTGCTCTGAAAAGGTTGCAAGTACCGGTTTGATTCCCACAGCCTCCACTCTGGGCTCCTGAGCAAGACCCTTAACCCCCACACTGCTCCCCAGGCGCCACACAATGGCAGCCCACTGCTCCCAATGGGGATGGGTTAAATGCAGAGAGTGAATTTCCCCATTGTTAGACAGTAAAGGGATTTACATTTACATTAAAAGATTTTGAATTGTTTCTGCTTTTACTAACAAATTCAACAGTTTTGGAATATTTGGTATAGATGGAAAACCATCAGGACAAAAATATAGAGCCAGATTCTCTTCTAACAGTTACTCTTTGGGGAAAGATAACTGTAAGATTAGCTTTTTTACACAAATGAAGGCAGCAGGGTGTGCTGGGAGAGATCATAGATATCTTTAAAGATTATTTTCTATAGAGGTTATTTAGAGGAAACCTCTAAAAATATGAGTACCCTGTTTCCCCAAGATTTCTGGATTCATAACCCATCCCCTCAGAGAGCCCAGGGTGCAGTAATTAGCTGAGTCATTATTTGTTAAACCTAAATGCATTCACTTTTATTTATCTGATTAGTAATAAACTGAACTGAATAACAATTGGAAGAGTCAATCTCTATATTTTCATTTAAGTGCAGCAAAACGTCTCAAACATTATGTTTGCAGGCATTACTGTTAATTTTCTGCAGTGTTTTTCAACCCTGGTCCTGCCTGCACACTGCCCTGCATGTTTTAGGTGTTTCTCTGCTTTAGCACACCTGATTCAGTCGATTCCAGTTCAGCAAAGTTTGTTAACCTGCTATCAGTTGATATGAGGTGTGTTAAAGCTGGGAAACATTTAAAACATGCAGGGAGGCGTGCCTCCAGGACCAGGGTTGAAAAACTTTACGAGCTTATCTGGGACAATAGCTTACTGTTTGCTTTTTATTAGGTTATTTAGTGTGTCTTTAATGAAAATCGTGAACACACTGCAAAAAAATCTAAATCTAGATAAGTCATTTTTTCTTAAAATAAGTGCATTTGTTCTTGAATTGAGGAGGTAAAAGAGACATTTTGCCAATGGAACAAGACAATTAACACTTAAAATATGAAAACACAATTGCATCGTCTTATTTCAAGTGCATATTATCTATTATCTTATTTTAAGAGTAAAATTACACATTCCATTTGCAAACTATCTCATTAACCTGCTCAAATTAAGGGTGAATACTATTTTTAGATCGTTTTTGCAGTGCATTAAGCTTTTCCAGAAAAGTAGGGAAAGTAAAGCAGATTTGAGTCTGAAGCAGAGATAATGTTTCCTCATAATGCAGGCGGCAGTTCAAATGCATGAAAAATCCTACTTTTTTGTTCAATTTTTAATGATCACTTTTCATATATAGAATCTTCAAAGAAAAGTCATAGAGGAATCTGATCTAGTCTGGAAAATCCATCAGAAAAGCGCTAGTCTTAATTTATTGTTTTTAAAATACCTTTACTCCCTTTACTGCTGAAAATAAAACTTTAAGATTCTGCTTTGTAGCATAAGAACCTTCCTTCTCTTCTTATTGGGAATTATTTGATCCAAGAAAGGAAATCTGCACACAAACCCAGGGTGGTGCATATCCCTTTGTAAACACCTTTAGTTCAAACTCTCCTCCCATTACTGTTAGAGAATTCCTGATCAAGCTTTCAGATGCTTGTGAGCTAAAAGAAATCCTTAATGTATGTAACTTACAAAGCTAAAAGAACCACATCTATTAATCTAGATGCTGATTTGAGAGTGAGGCCGTTGGATTTGTTTTTTCCAGGATCCTCTGGCAGGTCGCAGCATCTTCTCTGGGAATTTGTTTCAGTACTTGGAGGAGAATCGGAAGTGGAGGAACCGTTTTGTCTCCGTGCCAAACAGCTACACCATCGAGCTCCACGAGAGCAAAGCGGTAGGTGGATGATAGAAGCACATCAGTTGTGAAGAACTGGGCTCTTGAGTGAAACGCCATGTTTGCTCTGCAGTCCAGTGACAGAGGGCTGCATCCGAAGGCTTCCATTAACTGTGCCGGGTACAAGGCCCTGACGTCCATGGAGAAGTACATGGAGCTGGTCAACAGCAGCCTGCCAGGTGGGACGATAATCCAGAGACGTTTTAAGTCGTTATTTGCATTTTCAAAACATTTGTGAAGCACCGTCAATAATTAAAGCTCATTATTTTCTTCTTCTTTTTTTTTATTTAATTCTATTAACTTCAATAAAAATCAGATAAAGGTTAGAGATTGTGTGCTTTGATAAAAAAAAAAAAAGTTATCATTATCGTGTCATTTCTTTAGTTATTTATTCAATTTAAAATTTCTTCTATAGGTTTACTTTTGTTTTTGTAAAACAGTGCTGACAGGAAAAGGCTCATGTATGTTCTAGAAATAAAATAAAAACAGAATTACTGAGTAAAAATCTATTAGATACACCTCTTAAATATATCTGTTTAAATCAAATTTGATGTCTTAAACTGAATGATTCCAGCGACACCTAAAACTCTTCATATGGTGGACACTGTTGTAAGGCTGTAAATTAACTTTTGGAATTCTAAAGATGTTGAATCTAACCTGCTTGACTTAAAGTTCAGTTTACAAGATCTCACTTTTTTTTAAAAACTTGTTTAGCTATAGTTAACCTTTAACTTGAGCTTGTTGGTTCACTAGATTCACCATCCCAAGTAAAACCTTAGAAAGAGAGGATGCCAACCCTGACTGGAACTCCAGTAGAAGAAACTGGGCTCTGCTGATTGGTTTCATAGTCCAACTAGACAAAGATGTTCATTAAAGGGTGTCAAGGTACCAGGTACGGTAGCAGAGGCATCATGCTGTGGAGTTGTTTCATGATTTTTGATTCAGTATCTAAAATCAACACAGCTAGGCGCTCCAACATGACAACGATCCCAAACTCAGTGTGCTATTCGGAAAGCAAGGCAGTGGCGGCATCATGCTGTGGGGCTGTGTGTCACAGAAGAGCCCCAGGACTTAAAATTGGACACAACTAGGCTTGTTAATATTGGAAAGCAATCAAATCTCTTATGAAAATAGACACGTCTGTACACCTTTAAGGTCAAAGGTTAAATTAAATTTCCAGCTGTCATGAAGACCCAACTGTTATGGTCAGATGAGTCAAAGGCTGAGTTATTTACAAAAAAACTATGAAAAGTATTCCTCCTTAAGAGTGGAAATGGTAACTGCTCTCAGCACAGTAGTGGCCGTATCATGCTGTGGGACTGGTTAATTGTTCTGTGGATCAAATAAAGCCACAGCTTGAGAGCTGAAACTAAACAAAACTTAGTGTTATCAAAGGAATGACGATGCTCCAGAGCTCAAGTAACATTTACCAAATCATCCACCGCAGTCTTGTTTGGAGAGATCTCCTATAAGCATCAGACCAGACCCATAGAACCTTTGTTCTTTAACGTTCACCAACCCTTTACTCAGTGGATTTTCACACACATGAACAAGTATTTGCAGTATTAGCACACTTAAAATGACCAATTTTGTTCTGCCACTTGTTGCAGGTATCAAGGCCAAAGCCAGCAGCAATCCCTTCATCAAATGTGCGACTGAGTTCCCCCTGATCCTCTGGCACCCGTACGCTCGCCATTACTACTTCTGCGTGGGGACTGAGAAGGAGCAGAAGAAGTGGCACGCCGTGCTGGACGACTGCGTCAGACACAGAAACAACGGTAATCATAGAATCAAAGAAGGAGAAGGGTGTCAATTTAGGGCTTTACTTGATGAAGGCTGGAGTTTGCCGAACACGCAGATCCTAAAAATGTCCAAAGACGATTCACGCCTCCCTCCTAGTGTCAGTGGGGGTTAAAATGCGGGCGTGTCAGACTCAGAGTTGCAGCATAATAACGTTTGTCTTCTTTACAGACATTGAACATCTTCAGGAAGCACTAATACTGGATTCTTTGACTATTGCTGTCATTAAATGCAGGCTTTAACTTGTTTTTGCTGAAGGCTACAGAGCATGGCATTGGCTTTGTGTTTTACTCTGTGGTTTTGTTTGACTTTTACGTTTGTGCAACTCCAACAATAACTCTGAGGAGGATACTGTAGTTATTTTATTCTTGGTCCTTTTGATGCCATTTCCATCAGGGCGGGGAACGACTTGATCCGTCTCTTCTTGCAGTGACATGACTCACGTCTCATTGTTTGGAGACATTGACGGCAAAGACAAGCAGCAGGATGTTCCAACATCTTTGTTTGTTGTGTTGTCATGCCTCACCTCCTGTCTCAATAATCTCTTGTCAGTTGTTAGATATTGTCGAGGCTCTGCATTTATCAACCCTCCATTTAGAGGTCATGTCTCTGCGTTTGGAGGGATGACCAGTACTCAAGTTGAGGGGGGATGAGGGGGGATGGCATCCCTCTTCTTAAAAAAAATTCTTAAAATCATCCCCCTTCTTAAATGACCATCCCGCCATACCATCCCATGTGACATTTTATTAACCTGACTCCGCCAGATGGACTTGCTCCGCATATCCATCTGGAAACCTTCCGTTGCAGTAATTTTGGGAAGGGCCGAAAATACTGGTTAGCTGATTGGCCTATGTTGGTGATAGACGGGCCAAATAAACCAATCAGATCAACGAAGCATATGACGTACTAACAGCGACGACGAAGAGGAGCCAATTGATAGATCAAACTCTTGCCGAAACCAGTCGGGAGAAGAGCAACAACATCTTTTCCTCTGAGAAAAGCCTCCAGAGCAGTGTTTTGCTCTTCTTTCAGTGAATAAATACTCTGTAATTCTGATAAAACTTGCTCGATAGCCACGCTAACGCTAGTTTCATCGGCTGAAGCCGCCATGTTCTTTAGACTGAACTGTCGCGCTTCTCGTTGCGTCACACCTCAACCCGCCTCAAAGCCAACGCTGATTGGACGTTCGTTTGGTGAATGGCTCCAAATTTTCTTCAACGGAGAGTCTCCAGACTGATTAGCGAGTGAAACCTTGAAAGCTCGCGAGATCAGGATGGTCTCACGAGGCTAACATTTTATTGCTCAATGTGTAAAATTTCTACTATATATTAATAGTAATGGCAATAATGTTGCCCTTTTAACATTCAGCGGGCTGTGGGCTTACGAGTACCCTGAGCAAAATAAATACAATCAAAGAAGCGGCCTACGATGACTATGAAGCTGATCCCAGTGGGAAATTTGTCCTCTGCATTTGTCCCCAACTCTGCAGGGGCAGTGATAGCCATGCCAGTCCAGAGACTGACTGAACTTCTACTGTAAGGTGCCACGATCAAGGTCAATGACCGGCGTACCTGACATGTAACAACTATACCATGCATACTACTTTAGGTTAATAGACTATATTAATTAGGCTATGTATGCTTCCAAAAAAACCAAAAACAAATCAATAGTCCCAATTCTTTTTTGCAACTAGACTACTGGGGATGACCTGCAGGGCGGTTGATTTCAGGAATGGTGACGAGCCGGATATTTGAACCTCTTTCATTGATAAAGAAACGCCTGCTGCCTTTGGCATGAGCCGACTTGTTTGAGTCCCATCAGGTGGCAGAGCAGGTGCTGCTGACGAGGATCTGAGATCAAGGGTGGAGGATTCAAAGAGGGCTGACGTATTATCAATGTTGCAACGTATTTGCAAATTAAAGTCCATCTCGTATGCCTTTTATGTGCAAGAAGGAAAACTTAAAATGAGACAATCTATCTAGGCTCAAGTGGTACAACGTATCTTTCATTTCCAGACTATAGTCATTTGAGATTAATGAGTGACTATTTGTCCTCCTTTTTAAACCGTTTTCTACCAACTCTAGCAAATTTATACGGTCTCAAAATCCGTTAACATTAAATGTCCATAACTGCTTGATTCTCTATGGTCCATGTTCAACATTAATGCTGTTTCCGTGCTCAATATGTCGAGGACAAAGTGCGAAACCACAGTGCAGAACTAGAAGAATAAGAATGTGAAACCGTTTTGCAGATATGCAAAAAAGCATTTCCTTCAATCAGCCTGTATGCAGGCTACATGTGGAGCCGTTTCTCTAGCTGGACGCTAACTCTTTTCAGCTGACTGATAGGGAAAAACCACAGGTTAAATGTTCAATCTGACAACCGGGCGGCTCATTTGAATCAGCCAAAGCTCTCTTTGTTTCATCCTCGATAGTCGGCCAATAAAGCGACTGGCTGCTGCTTTGCATCACCTTAACAAGATTATTTGCAAAGTGTCCTTTATATGACCCGCTCAGCTGACAGGTCTGACTCCAGTCACTGATACGGGTCACAGGGTCAGAGTTAGATACTGGATTGTCCATTTCGTTACAACCATGAACTTCAGAGTATTTTCTGGAGATTTTATGGAATGGAGCAACTTTAAGTAGTAAACTGTTTTGATGCAGTGAAATGAAAACTATTCCTTTCTAGAATCAACAGTTTTTTTGTACTTTTTTATTTAGTTGCTCTTTTTTCTGGAAATACTCCAGGTTCAACCAGGCTGAAAAGAAGCAGAATATCTCTAAATATCAGCTTTCAAGTCTTTGATTAGATTAACAATTCAATTCAGGTCTAAACTTTGACTAGGCCTTTCTAATACATAACTATAATTTGATCCAGACCCTTAGACTTTAGCTCTGCCTGAAAGTTTACGGTTGCTGACAGGTTTTCTTCCTTGTATTTATGGGGAAATGCTTCCCCAAAGCATAATGCTGCTCCCACCGTGGCGGAGATGCCGCAGTTAGAAGGACAAAATGTTACATGTTAATGTGTTTAAACATTTTAAAATGTTAAAATGTTTGTGGCTTTCTTGCCATACTTCCATCAGGAACACATTTGTTTAAATACGGTCCTGCAGACTGATCTTCTTGTCTGCTTCTTTCATTTATATAATTTTTGTCAGGTGTTTCACTTTAGTCAGACATCCATGTGCAGTTAGGTTTTCTAGGTAGTTTATGCTCCTTCCAATACTAGATAATAAATGGACGGTTGGTTTAGTCTTTGCTTTAGATGTCTCCACCACCTTCTCCCTGACTTGTCTGCTGTGTTCCTTGCTCTGAATGATTCTGGTTGTTCTCTAATGTCCCTTTTACACCCTGAGATTGAGTAAAGAATGGATTTTATTTATTAAATGCACAGTTGTGCTTCGTTTTTTTCATTTGTGTTGCACGTTCACATGAAATCCTAATAAATACATGCAGCTATGATATAAAAATGCATGTAGAAAATCTTTATTATCTGTATTTTGTGAGCTCACAGAACATAGAACCAGCGTATTAAAGAAGCCATGACAAGGTCTGTTGCTCCCATTCATTCCCAGGCAGGGATCTAAAGTTACATGCGGGTTGAGATGTCTGCAGCTGATGGTGTGTTTCCGTGGCTGTTTATTCTGTTGTGGGTTTGGGTGCCTCCATACGCCTCGACCATATGGGGAAACCCTTCTCAGTGAGAAGCAGCAGCACTAAGAGCGTATGGAAAATAACAAAAGAGAGCCGTGCTTAAATGAAACACGGAAGGATAAATATTCAGCTTTTTTATTCTTAAAAAAAAGGAATTTAAAATGGGAAACATTATGAGAGGGTAAGAAAGAAAAGAACGTGGAAAACCCATCTCTGACAGTCTCTGCTACTGCAGCCACCAGAGCGTCGGAGAGGCAGGCAGAAAGGGAAATGCCTTAAATAAAATTACGGCGGTAAGCGCTGCCACATGTTCTATTAATACTTTCAGTGCACACATGCATGCAGGACTGAAAAACTGAAATAAGATCCAGCTTGTTGCAGGAAAATGTCTGATTTTTACTGTCCTGATGGGAGATGGTGAGATATTTATCTACTTATTATCTACTGCACAAGTCTGCTAATTTATTAGGAGATTAAATAAGCTTATATTAATGTTTAAGTGTTAAAACTAAAGCAGTCAAAAATACTGATTTAAGAAATTAGAGATGGAGTTATATTAGATATACGTGTATTTTTAAACTTTATTTTCATGTCACAAAAGGAATTACAATACCATGAAAACTTATGTCAACCCTTAAGGGTTTTCCCTTGTGAAACCCTTCCTTTTAAAAACAAAGCAAAACAAAAACAAACTTGCAATCAAACAATGCGCACAAAGAGAAAGGAAAACAAATCTAAATGCTTTTTCCTGTACAGTACCTTCTCCACATACATACAGTAAGAACACAAAAGTTATACTGAGAGTCACAGTTATATGCAACATTTAGCATAAAATATTCTACATTTAATATGCAAATTCAGACATTTTCCAACCTGTAAACTAAGTGCAGCCAGAGCTCATTAAAACAATAATCATGGTTATTTTTCTCTCAGGTTAGTAAGAGGTAAAAGGGAAGCCAATTACTCTAAAAAGTACTTAGAAGTTTAAGGAAATTTTTTTTCTTCCAAAAAAAGTATGCATTTTTTGCAAAATAAGGAAGCAAAATCAGGAACCTAATTTTCTCTGTAATTTAACTCATTAAGTACATTTAAACATCGACTTATTTTGTGTTATGTTTCCAAAACTGATCGTTTAAAAGCATGACTTCGGCTTTGATTACTTTTTAAAAGCTCACAATTTGCAAACATATGTAAGAATGTCCCCTCTACCTTATTACATATTTGACAAAGTGATGGTACTCTCTTTGATAATTTATTTATTTTTTATTTTGTAATTGTATTACTTCTAAAAGGATAAATGGTCCCCCAATATTTTTAAC